GTCTCAAAAACAATAACAATAATAATCAGGCCACGTGTGGTGGCACACACCTTTAATCTCAGCACTTGGGAGGCAGGACAGGTGGATCTCCGTGAGTTCAAGGCCAGCCTGGTCTACATAGTGAGTTCCAGGCCAGCTGGGAAAAAAAAAATAAGTGAGTTTATGCCTCACTGAGTCACAGGGCTTTTCTACCCACTGTGTGTGTGTGTACATCAATCCTTGAAACTGGGAGTTGTCTTTTTTTTTTAATGTATGAGTGTGTTGCCTGCATGTATGTGAGTGCACCCAGGTTGTGCAATGCTGCAGAGGTCAGAAGAGGGCTTCAGATTCCCCTGGAACTGGAGTTAGGAACAGTTTGTAGCTGCCATGTAGGTGCTGGGAATCCAACGTGGGTCCTCTGCAAGAGCATGAGTTGTCTGTCTTTAAACTACTGTGTGACCTGAAGTCAGTGAATGAACCTCTCTGAGCTGAGAATTCCTTCCTTCGGTATGGCTCAGCACCCAGGTTTGAGTTAGTCAAAAGCCAGCTGTCCTGACTGCAGAAATCTTGCTGCAGACAAACGAGCGAAGATAAGCAGTGGGCTCATGGAGCATTCCAGAATTAAATAGCATGTTACGCTAATAGTGAGCAGGATAGGCTAGCTCAGGCAATTTCACCCTCACTGCCCTACTTAACAGGGCTTATAAAAGCACCTAAGGGACACAGACCACTGTGCCCTAGAAACTGGGAGGGAGCAGCGTAGCCCCAAATCTTAAGGAATGAGCAGGACAGGAGGGATGGCAGGAGCCACCAGCTTAGTAACTGCCCACGCTGAGACAGTCCTCAAAGGGAGTTCCAGCAGCATAGAAGGTGCGTTAAAGTCACCCACCTGCCGTCTCCCGTGGAAAGCAATGCAGACCAAGAGCCCAGTGTTGGGGGAGGGGGTGCTGAGGCTGGGTCATTGCGGCCACTGAAGGTACCAGGAAAGGTGGGCAGCCTGTGGGCTCCAGAGTGCTCCCACACAGGTGACCAGCAGTGGGAGGAGGCCCCCAGCCTAGTTGCCCGGCTTCATCCATCCTCCCCTCTGTCCACTCTCCCGTGCCATTTCCCTCTTTGTCTTTGTTCTTTTTATTTTTATTGAGGGGGTGTTGTGGTTTGGTTTCAGTTTGAGTTGAGTTTTTGGCTTGTGTTTTTAAGACAGGGTCTCACTGTCACTCCAGCCTGGAACTTGCTATGTAGATCAGACTGGTCTTGAATGCACAGGGCCACCTGCCTCTGCTTCCCAAGTGCTGGGGTTTAAGATGTGTGCCACCACCTGGCCCTTGGTATTGCTTTTACCCATACCCTCTCAGTTACTGCTTGTATAAAACTACTTTGATAAATTAGGAAACTAAAGCTCAGAGAGGCTAAGTAGCTTTCCCAAGATGACACAGCTCATAAATGGCCTTTATGAGTTAGAAATGGCCTTTACTTTCTCTTTTAGTACCAGGGATTGAACACAGGGCTTCAGTTTGGTTTTTCATTTTTATTTATTATATCTGTGTGTGTGTGTGCACGCGTGCATGTGTGTGCGTGTGCACGTGTAAAGATCAGAATGAACTCAGGTCATCAGGCTTAGTGGCAAGCACCTTTACCCACTGAGCCATTTCACTGGCCCATGTTTTGTTTTTTGAGGCAGGGTCTCATGTAGCCCATGTAAGTACGGCCTTGGTCACCTTAGATCTCTAGCCACCCTACTTCGACCTCCTGAGTGCTGGGTTACAAGCATGCACCACCAGGAGCCATTACGGCATTATACCTCAGTGCATATTAAACAAACAGACATATGTAACATACATATCACAGACATCAGCGAAGGCCTTATCTGCACCCTCCTTGTCCCTGTGTGCACATGTACCCCACATGTACACACTGCCAATGCCCTACCAAATGCCACATACCAGAGACAGGTATTCCATGTTTGCACACTATCTACATCCACAAACACTCCAATCCATGCATACTCCAGTCCCAGCACATAGCTGTTACACACTACTTTGCTTTCTGTTGCTGTGATATAAAACACTCACTAAAACCAACCTGGGCAGGAAAGGGTTTGTTCCAGCTTGCGGGTTACCTATCCATCATCAAGGGAAGCTGGGGCAGGAACTCAAGGCAGGAACCTGGAGGGAAGAACTGAAGCGGAGGCCATGGAGGAACTCACTGGCTCGCTTCCCCTGGCTCACTCAGTTACCTTTCCTATGCAACCCAGACCCACCTGTCTAGGGCGGCCACCACCACAGTGGGCTGGGCCCTCCTACATCAATTAGCAATCAAGAAAATGCCCACAGGCCAGTCTGGTGGAGGAAATTCCTCAGCTGAGGGTCCCTCTTCCCAAGTGGCTAGACTCCTGTCAAGTCGACAGCCTCTTTTGTACATGTGAAGCACACACATCAGCACTTGTAGAAACCTTCCCAACACAGAGTTCCAACTGCACCCAGGGCCACACACAGATAATTAAGAAAGCATGCCTGTCCCTCAGCCATCAGAGTCAGCACCAGCAGCTCTGACTAGGGCAAGCATGTCCAGAGAATCCCAGCATAACTTGCAAATCTCCAAAGGAATGTCAGACTGTGCCCATGTTTTTATTACTGTGTATAATAGTCTAATTATTTTTAAATTGTTAACCTGTATATAAATATTTGCCCTTTCTATTAGGCAGGATATTTGATTAATTAATGCAGTGTGTCACTCATTCAGTCACTGTGCAGTTGCTGAGCACCAGTTAAGTTTGAGACATCGGGGCCAACCCCTGCAGGGCTAAGGGAGCAACGAGGTGATAAATAAAATCACGTGATCCCTACTCTTGGAGAAAACCAGATACAATAAGCTTCGAAAACAAACGGTTGGGACTCAGTAGATAGCCCAATGGGTAAAGGCACTTGCCACCAAGCCTGATGACCTGAGCTTGACCCTCCGAACCCACATAGAGGAAAGAGAGAACCAACTACCAAAGTTTTCCCCTGACTTCCACACACAGGTTATAATCCCCAGGTACATACACACACACACACACACACACACACACACACACACACACAATAAATAAATAAATAAATAAATAAATAAATAAATAAATAAATGTAATCAAAAATTTGTTAAACAGTGGGCCTTCACAGACCTGGGATCCCAGCATTCAGGAGGCTGAGGCAGGACACTCATAACCCCACAAGTAATTGTATCACAACTGGCAAAGCCCATGGTTTAAGAAGATCGTGGGAGGGAGGGGCGGAGGGAGGGAACAAAGGCACAGGAAACCCTGAGACTGGCCATCCTAGGAAGCAGAGACCCACTGGTGGTGTGTGGCATGGAAGTTGTGGCCTGGAGTTGGAAAAGATAACTTGGGGCACAGCAGGACGGGAGGAAAGGGGACCTGCCCTTCCAGGAGACTTAGAGTTGAGCAGCATCTGTTAGAGCAGATCACTGAACGGTTACCAGTGTGATGAGAGCAGAAGGCAGGGGAGGGCAGGGGAGGGCAGGGGAGGGCAGGGGCTGCAGCTCCATGGTAGAGTGCTTGTCCAGTGTGTACAAAGGCCCTGGGGTCATGCCCAGCAGTGAGAAAAATAAGTTCAAGAAAAGGAGTGAGGGAGAACAGGCAAGTTCAGTACAGCTCCTAGGGGTACAGGAGTCCTGCTTGACTGCGTGACACAGCTTCTGTCTTCACACACACACACACACACACACACGCACGCATGTTTGCACACATACACACACAGGCGCACACACACACGTACACACTCACACAGACTCTGCATTTCCTCCATCATCCCTGTCCCACAAGCCCCTAACAGGCAGCACTTCGCTCCAGCCATCTCCTGGGTGTCCCTGTAGGTTAAGGCTCTCTCAGAGCAGCCCAGTGAGGACTCCTCAACCCCTGAGGCTCCAGCTTTGGCTCTGCTGAGACCTGGGAACCTTGGGGAGTCTGCTTAGACCTGCCTGTTTAGGGAAGAGAAGCAGGTGTGACAGAAATGCCTCAGGGTACCCCCAGCAGCTTGGTTTCCAGTCACTCAACTCCCAGAACCCTGGGATGAGAACTGCTGATCGACTGGAGCTTCCATGAGTTCCTTTCACTAGCTGGCCTCAACTCTGCCCATTTCTCTCTCTATTTTATATTTTTGAAGCAGAGCTGGGATTTATTTTTTAAGGCTATTTTAATAGACATCAGGATGAGGGTTAACAGAAAGAAAATGCTCAGAAAGTCAGACAGGCCTGAGAGCTCAGGTACAGACTTGTACCTCACTCTTGTTGGTTTTTTTTGGGAGGGGGTTGTTTTGGTTTTCTGAGGGGTGGAATGACGGGGACAGTGTTTGTCATGTAGGCTGGCCTCAAACTCATGGCAACGTTCTTGCCTCAGCCCCTGGAGTGCTGGAATTACAAGCATCACCACACCTGGCTTCTGACTGTGAATTTTCCAAAGTGCTTGTTTTGTGAAGCTCCTGGGTGTACGCCCATGTCTGTTAAAGGTTCAGTTGTTAAAGTTGTGTACCTGAGTGCATTTGACTTTGGCGAGTTTACTATTTAATTTTAGTCAATGGCAGATTCTAGAGATAAACGTCAAGGAAAGGCTGGTTTATGTTACCTCTAAGGTCTTTTCTGTCCCATGATCCTGTGACAAGTCATGAACCTGTGACCCAAAGCTGTACTGATTCAACCAGAGGCTAACCCCTCCCCCGTCACCACCCCGAGACCTCACCCCTCAGGACCCTCCCCCAGGGAGACCCAGCGCCACTGTGGTGACCCATAATCCCAGAAATGACGCAGTGAAGTGTCTGGAATCTCAGCATCAGTCAGACAGTGGCTGCCTGCCGGGACCCAAGCTGGCTTCTCCTTGCACTGGGTCAACAGTTTAGCCTGCGCCTTCCTCCTCAAGGACCTGGCTGAAAGGCTCAGACCCCGGGGCCTACAGGACTAAAGGAGGCTGGGGTCTATGGGAGCATGAAGAAGGACCTCCGTTCACCCCGTGCGTCTCTCTCCCTTCTCAGCCTGGCCGCTTCCAAGGAGGCTGACGCAGCCCGCTCCGCACCCAAGCCTATGTCACCATCGGATTTCCTGGATAAGCTCATGGGGAGGACTTCCGGATACGATGCCAGGATCAGGCCCAACTTCAAAGGTAGGGGACCCTTCCTTTCAGATCTACTGGACAACGCTTTCCCAGACGAAGGGAGCAAGCACCATGACCCTGAACTCAGATGATAAATGCGTGGGGTGAGTCCCACACCTTCCTCCACCCAAGGCAGACATTGCTAATCAATTTAGTCTCCTCTCCCACCAATCCCAGATAGAGTCTCAGAGAATCCAACTCAATAGAACTTTTGGTTTTCAGGAGTCAGTCAGTGGATTAAGGCCTATTTTGCTAGTCTAATACAGACAGTAAACAAGGAATGTGTGTCAAGTTTTGGCTCAGACACAAACGTTCCCTCTGAGCTGGGATAAGCCTTTCCCTCTGTCTAGGCCTCAGTTTCCAAATCTCTGTGCTTGGCTTCATCTGCGGTCACGAGATATGCAATTCAAGGATTTGGGGACTCCATGAGGGGCCCTAAAATGGAGAAGCAGAGGCAATCAGGAGCAAATCCACATGCCCTTGTTCTGGGTAAGGGCTTTCCTACACAAACCTATCTGCTGAAGGTTCCTGTGGGCTAAAAAAAGACAATTCTGAGGGGGCTGGAGAGATGGCTTGGTGGGTAAGAGCACTGGTTGTTCTTGCAGAAGATCTGGGTTTAAATCCCAGCACACACATGGCAGCTAACAACTGTCCATAACTCCAGTTCTAGGGGGATCTGACACCCTCTTCTGACCTCCACGGGCATTGCACAACAGGGGTGCACTTACATAGATGCAGGCAATACACTCATGCATATAAAATCAAAATAATAAATAAAATGTGCAGAGGGAGATGGATCTCTGTGAGTTCAAGGCCAGCCTGGTCTACATAGTGAGTTCCAGGACAGCTGGGGCTACAGGGAGACCCTGTCTCAAAAAGACCAAAATAATAATAATAATAATAATAATTCTGAAAGTTCCTCATGCGAATGAGAATCAGCGCATCAAATGTCCGTGGGGTTACCATGGATATTAGTTACTCTTCTTCTTACTATGACAAATCCACTTGAAAAATGAAGGTTTGGTTTGTGCCATGATGTGACGGGACACAGTCCACCACGGTGGTAAAGGAGTGTGAGGCACAAACCAGGAAACAGATGTGAACACTGGTACTAAACAACCTTTCTCCTTTTTATTCAGTCCAGGATAGAGGCCCATGGGCTGGTGCTGTTCACATTCAGGGTGGATCTTCCCACCAGGTTAAGCCTCTCTGGAAACTCTCTCATAGACATGCTCAGAGGTATGTTTCCATGGTGACTCTAAATCTAGTCACATTGACGATGGAAATGAACCAGCACTTAAATGAGCAAGATGAGCTGAAAGTCAGAACTTACCAGATGGCAGAGGCAGTGGATAGAAAGAGCCACAGGCTCCTGTTAATGAAGATGGCTTCCCTCGGCCCCCACCTGTAGGTGTTCCATGGCAACATGGGTCCCATGTTACCAGATCAGCCAATATTCCAAGAGGACCCCAAACTGAATCTCTACAGGTGAAGAAGAAATTCCTGATTCCTAAAGTATGCAAATTCAAACAAAACATGTTTGAGAACCAAATTACGCACTGTGGTCCAAGTGGCTAGACAAGGTCCCATGAGACCTTAATGCCTATAACAAGAGGGAATCAAATCCCTATGTTCTCTGATGCCTCTGAAGGGCATATCTGAAATGATTTAAAGCCAGTGCGCACAGCTCTGGGGATATCTTGGGAACTTGTGCACTCGGACCTTCCATCCAGCACCCCTGCAAAAATCTTATTCCAGGCACTGGCAGCTTTAGAATGGGTTCCTGGTTCAGATGCCCTTCCTGTCGTCCCTGCGGCTCAAATCCAGGAGCTGAGGAGGGACCGACAGCTGCTAACAACTTTCTATTATTTACTTACTTTGACCGGCTCAAGCCTGGCCCGGATCGAGTTGTCCATGCCCCGTTCTTGGAGCCCTCTGTCTATGAACTCTGCACACAGAAAGCAATCTGGGAGATACCTGGAGGTTTGTGTTTGGGCCCACCTCCCGCTGCACCTTCTGTTATTATTAGCACAGCTTGGTTCTCCCAGGGACAAGTAAGCTAGAACCAAGCACAGCTGGCCCAAGCCCTTCCCCAAATCGCAATCTCAAGTACTTGGAGGGGCCAGGCAGATGTGCTACAAGCACATGGAGCAGAATGAGGGTAAGAAAAGAAATGTGGAGACCTCAAGGGCTAGAAAGAGGATTCAGACCTGAGTTCGGATCCCCTGTACACGTGTGAAAGTCAGGCCTGGTTGTACAATTGTAACCCCAGCACTAGAAAAGCAGAAACAGGCAGCTCTTCAGAGTTCACGGGCCAGTCAGCCTACCCAATTGATGAGCTCCGAAAGGGTGAAAGACCCTGTCTCAACAATAGTGGAAGACACCCAACATCAACCTGTGTGTGTGCATGAGGGAGGAGGGGGGGTGAGGAGAGAGAGAGAGAGAGAGAGAGAGAGAGAGAGAAAGAGAGAGAGAGACTCCTAAAATAAATAAATAAGGAATAATTAGATAAATACAGAGAATGCTGATTTCATGCAAGTTCGGCCACTCCTGGACCTAGGTAGCCAGATCCTCTGATACAAGACCTTATGTCTGGGGTTCTACATGGAATCTTCCAAGTTGAAAGTAAATCACATCTTTTGAGAACAGCAATGACCAAGTCAAAGCCATTCAGACCTGGGTGGGTAATGTGTTTAGCTATAGGCTGCACAGCCTGCCGCTAGCTAGATTTTTAGGAACCTAGTCCACCTTGCCCCAGGTGGGCTGTCTCAGAACTTTGCCCTGGATGGAGGTGCCAGGGTCTTGGTTTCCTGAGAAAGAGTCATTCATTTGTTGAGTATGGATGCCTCTGGGGTTCATGGGTTGGTTTTTCTGTGTGCTTACCACTATACTCAGTATATAGAAAGCCTTTAATAAGTTTATGTAGCCCAGGCTGACCTTAAACTCAAGATCCTCCAACCTCTGCCTCCTGAGTGCTGAGATTACAGGCATGGACCACCACACTCCTCTGAAAATCTTTCTTAGAACACCTGACCCAAATGTACAAGACTAGATAACCTTAGGCCTCTCCTAACTCTGCCTTGGCACAAACCCTTCAGCCCATGCTTGGAGGGAATCACAGTGCAGCTCAGGGGCAACTCCCACCCCAGGAACTGGGAGAAGGGCTTGGCTCCCCTCCCTTCAGGTGAAGGCAGAAAGGTCTACCCTTGAGCCCACTGCCTAGTCCTTCCCCACTTCCACTCATGCGCAAATAAGGCTCTCTAGAGCCTGTGCAAACACCAGAGCTCCTAAAGAAAATAGCCCTGTAGCTCAGACCCCGAAAGCCACTCCCAGAGCATTGCCTTGGAGCTCAACAGAGTTGCAGACCCCCCGGCAGCCTCCACAGCAAGCAAGCCTCCACAGCCTGCTCCCTGCCAGTCTGAACCCCGCCTCCCCCCGGTTACCAGCAACTACAGGCACCTTGGTCTGTGGAACACAAAGGCAATTCACACTCTAATATGGAAGTAAATAGCATTCAGAGTGCTTACCCAGCCCATGCTCCCCAAAGAGATCCCTTCCTGGGTCTGAGCCTCTGTCTCAGCATCAGGAGGATGCAGCGGGCAGGACCAGGGCCTTCCAGTTCTGAGGATCTGTGGTTCTGCTAAGGCTTTGTGTATTACAATGGCTTCCCAGATCAAGACCATAGCCTAATGCAAACACACACAAAAGCAAAATTAAACTTTAATATTTAATGAAATATATACATTATCTTGCAGCCGATGACAGCCAGATTGTAATTTTCTCAAGTTAATTTAATTTCAGATTTATATCCATGAACCGCACCTCCCCATGGGGTCTTTTTTGGTTGGTGCCCTCTCACATACATACATCAGCATCTCATTTATATGGGAGTCTCAGCGTTGGACGCACACAGTCCCGCATGCATCATCTCGAGGCACAAGCCATAACTCTGGGGCATCTAAATGGTGTGAAGCTAAATGGAAAGAAACCCGAGTTGGGGGCTAAATGAAGGTGGGGTGGGCCTTCGTCTGGGAGACTGTAACAAAGCAGCAGTTCTCACCCTGCATAGGCAAACGATCTGTTCAACACACAGAACTATCCAGAAACAGTAGTCCCACTGTTGGATTTAGAGGTACTGAACCTTGACGGGGGATGTGGTCTTTTGCAGTGGTCCCCAAACCTGCCTATCTATGCATGAGAATCACCCGGGTGGCTTGTTAAACCATGGAGCCTAGGCTAGGCTTCCCTGCAGGATGGGTCAAGAGCCCTACAAATTTTATTGCTGTTGTTTTGGTTTTAGTTTGGGTTTTTCAACACAAGGGTCTCACTCTGTAGCCCAGGCTGAGCTTGAATTTGTGGCGATCTGCCTGCCTCAGCCTCCCAAATGCTGAGATTGTACACCCAGCAGACTCTACAGTCTCCCAGTTTCACTCATGCCTCTTCTGCAACCAAGTCTGGGAAGCAATCAGTGAGGTTGGACAGCATCCTGAAATGCAAGCCCCTGAGAGGCAGCCAAACCACTGGAACTAAGGACCGCCAAGACCTAGAGCTCCCCTCTCTGCTTCTGCCTCCTCTCAGTGTCCCCCAACTTGATCGTTGCATCCCTCCCAAGCGCTTCCCTAATCTTTGAACTGTTCATCCTTTACAAGGAATATTCTCTAGAAGTCTCCTCTTTTCCTGTTTTTATGAATTGGTTCATCTAAAAAGAAAATGCAAGTACTGGCCTAGGAGGCCAGAGGTAGATGGGCTTTCGAGAGGAGAGACAAAGGGGTGAGGGTGTAGCTCAGTGGTAGGGTACTTGATTAGCATGGCTGGGGCCCGAGTTCCATCCCCAGCATCGGGGAGCAGAAAGAGAAGGAAAAGAAGGAGGAGGGGGGATGAGGAGGAGGAGGGAGAGGAGGAGGAGGGAGAAGAAGAGGAGGAAGGGGAAGAGGAGGGGGAGGAGGAGGAAGGGGAAGAGGAGGAAGGGGAGGAGGGGGAGGAGGAGGAGGGAGAAGAGGAGGAGGGAAGGGGAGGAAAACAAGGGAGAGACTGGTTCCTGAGGTGAACATGTAATTTAGGAGGTGAGGGTGGATGGCCCAGGCAAATATATAAATAATTTTTTTTAGAGCAACTCCATTTTTTAAAAGACTGGTGGAATAGGGGGAGGGGGAAGAGGGGGAGGAGGGAGAGGAAGAGGGAAGGGAGGGGGGAGGAGGGAAGGGGAGGAGGAGGAGGGAGAAGAGAAGGAGGAAGGGAGGAAGAGGAGGAAGAGACCTTCTCATGAGAAATGCCCCACCTGGATTTCTCTCCCACTGTCTCTGTGTAAACCCCTTGTATCCACACAAGCTTTTGATATTCCTTGAGCCCTTGAAGATGGAGATTTGGGGCAGACAGATTTTCTTAATGATCCTCTGGTCCAACTTGAGTAAACTTACTTCTTAATACCAATAATAATAATAATAATAATAAAAAGAGCATCCCTCCCTCTAAACCGCTGGGAGAAATTGGGATTCAGAAACTGGAAGGGGTTGTTCTGAGCCCCATCAGCTGGTGAGGCTGGAGTTGGCCCTAAAACCCAGAGGTCCTGACACTGTCTTGAGGGAAAACCTGGATTCTTACCCTAGGAGTGACCTCTTCCTGTACACCAGGATTTCATAAAAGAAGGCGATCTTGGCTAAGTTTGGGTGAGCACCTTTCTGAAGATGAACAGAATGGATGCGGCTCCAGGAGACATAAGGACACAGCTCCCTTCTTTCCACAATCAGAGCACTTTCGTTGGAGTTGCAACCATACCATTTTTTACAGTTTGAGCCAACTTGAGTGACTTAAAATCCCTGTGCCCTTTTATGAAGCGGGGACAATCCTGCCCTTCCTGCCTCAGTGCCTCCTGGGAGACCAATAAGAAATGCAACTGAGCCAGGTGTGGTGGCACATGCCTTTAGTCCCAGCACTCAGGAGGCAAAGGCAGGCGATATCTGTGAGTTCAAGTCCAGCCTGGTCTACATAGGGAGTTCCAGGACAGCTGGGGCTACGGGGAGACCCTGTCTCAAACCCCCCCCCAAAAAAAGTAACAAAAGAAATTCAACTGAAAGTGTTCACGGAGTATAAACTTCACATGAATGATTATTACCCATTAGTCAGGGCCTAAGCACCTTCAAGGTCAGATCAAGCTCAGTTCCTCTCTGAGGACTCTCCTGCCTCTGTCCTCAGAACCCGTCTTGACTGGATTCCATTCCTCTGACTCCCCGCTCGTCCATGGTCTCTCATGCCTCTCTGGCTATTTCATGCTGAGTTCTGTAGAAATCCAGTATTTAAGATTCTGGATTCTGCTGGGCATAGTGCACACTCCTGTAGTCCCAGTCTCAGAAGACTGAGGCAGAAAATTGCTGTGAGTCCTGAGCCAGCCAGGGCTCTACAGTAAGTTCCAGATCAACCTGGGCTACAGAGTAAGACTTGTCTCTAAAAGGGGGCGGGGAGCTAGAAAGCTAACTCAGTAAAGTGCCTGCTTTGCAAGCAGGAGGACTTGAGTCTGATCCCCAACACCCGCCCTAAATGCCAGACGTGGTGGGGTACACCTGTAATTCAGTGCTGGGGAGGTAGAGACAGGTGGATCCCTGACGGTCTCTGGCCAGCCAGCCTACCCCACTTGGCATGTTCCATGTTAATGAGAAACACTGCCTCAAAATACAAGGTGGATGGAACCTAAGGACCAACAGCCAGTATTGTCCTATGTCCTACACACACACACACACACACACACACACACACACACCAGTTCTGGATTCAACCAGTGCTTATGTGACCCTGAACATGCCTCTTCCCCCCCTCTATAGCTCTGTACTATTAAGATAACCACTGTGAGAGTTATGCCTATCTGAACTGGAACCCCGGCCCCACCATTCTTTCACAGTGTGGTCATAGATGAGTAGTTGGACCTCCTTGACCTCTGTTTTCTTCTCTGTTAAATGGAGGTGATAGCCGACCTTCTCACAGAGCCGTTGGGAGGATACAAATCAGGGTCATGTTGTAGCGTCAGGAGGCTGGTCTTTGCTGCTACTCACAGTGTAAAATGAAGAGCCTAATCTGCACCCAGACACAGTGTGCCCAGACATCAAGGTGCCAAGGCAGCGGGCATCCCGCCCCCTCTTCCCTGGCCTTTGCAGCAGGACAAAAAACACTTGTCTGCCAAGTATTTAACAAAGATTCTCGAGCTTTCCTTGGGGCTCCTTCTGGACCCCTTGCCTGGTAATTCCCATCATTGCCCTTCAGCCCATCATTCACGGTTCGCAAGTTCAAGGCAAGGAACTTGCTGGTCCCCCCAATTCCCCAGACAGCCTCCAAATGTTGTAGCCATAAATACATCTCAGACACAAATTAGAAAGCAGCCGATGGGACTTGGGGATGGGATTTCAGCCAGGTGGCAGGATGATGAATCACTCTGTGTTAATGAAGGTGCAGCTTGGCTCAGCCTCCAGTGCCGTGTACCTGCCCGTCCCCTGGGGGCCAGGGAGTCATCTGGCAGAGATGCTGAATGCAAGCTGGGGACCCCAGCTGCTTGGCAGTGGGGTGGAGAAGAACCAGGGGCTCCTCTGTCCCTCTGAGGACATCTATTCTTGAAGTCAGTGCCCAGGAATGGGCTGTCGGTGGCTTCTCCATGGTATGAGACTCAGCGGAACTCTTTCTTGATTGGCAGGTCCTCCGGTGAATGTGAGCTGCAACATCTTCATCAACAGCTTCGGCTCCATTGCTGAGACAACCATGGTAAGTAAACCACAGTGAGAACCACTGTCTCCTACTGGAGGCGCCTCTGTCCCGTGCACATCTGTCCTGCACACTGGGCTTCCCCAAGGAGGCACAGAATCCCATGTTTGTGCTGGGTCTCTTCGTATACCTGGAGGCCCTGATGTTTCTGTCTGTCCAGGTCGATGTTTTGGGTAAAGACTTAACATTTCAAGAAGGTTAAACTGCTAACTGCACAGGACAAACCAGGATTACAAAAATAAAATTATAGCATGTTGTAGGGGGCTGACATAATCAAAGTGCATTAGCTGCATGTATCACAATGAAGACAGGGTATGGTGTTGTATAACTTCGATCCCAGCACTTGGAAGACAGAAGTAAGCAGGTCTCTGTGAGACAGAGACCAGCCAGAGCTACAGAGTGAGAACCTGCCTTAGAAAAAAAAAAAAAAAAAAAAAAAAAGAGAAAAAAAAAAACATTTTTTAAAAAAATTTTTTAAATAGTTTCTGCTGCTACAGAGTCCCTATAGCGAGTTCCAGGACAGCTGGGGCTACAGGGAGACCCTGTCTCAAAAACACACACACACACAAAAAAAAAGACAGAACAGAAGAAAGGGAAAGAAAGGATCACAATGAAATCCATACAATTAATACGGGATAATAATATAAATACTTTAAAAATTAATCAAGGCTAAGGAGGTGACTACTCTTGAGAGGATCCAGTGTTCAGTTCCCACACCCACCAGTCCATAACTCTAGTTCCAGGGGATTTGATGCCCTCTTCTGGCCTCTGCAAGGCATTGTGGGCATGTGGTGCACTTAGATACATGCAAGCAAAACATATATAATACATACATATAAGACAAAAATATAAATTAATTAATGAAAACTCTGGGTTCACTAGAAGTTTATAATCCCAGCACTGGGGTTGGGGGAGTGGAGATGGAACTCTGGGGCTCACTGGCCAACCAACCAGGTCAAATCCGGAGCCCCAGGTCCTGCGAGATCCTATCTCAAAGAAGTTGTGTGGCTCCTGACATACAACACCAAGGTTGGCTTCTGGGCCACACACACACACACACACACACACATGCACGCACGCACACACACATCCACGCCAGAGCCCCAGGTCCTGCAAGATCCTATCTCAAAGAAGTTGTGTGGCTCCTGACACACAACACCAAGGTTGGCTTCTGGGCCACACACACACACACACACACACATGCACGCACGCACACACACATCCACGCACACATACATGCACGCACACACATGCATGCACACACACATACATGCACACACAAACATACAAACACATGCACACACAAACACACATATGCACACACATGCACACACACAAATACAAACACAGGCACACACATGCACGCACGCACACACATGCACACACACACACGCACACATGCAACCACACGCACGCACACACATGCATGCACTCACACACGCACACACACACACATGCACACACACGCACACACGCGCACCCACATATGCACGCATACACACGCATGCACACGCACACACACACAGCAGCAGCAGCAACAACATCAGGGTAAATGTTTCAATTAAAGGGAAACGTGGCTAGGTACAGAAGTGCACAGCTGTAATTCCAGCCCTCAGAAGACCAAGCAGGAGGATGGTGACTTAAAATCCAGCCTGGGCTACCCAGTAAGACCCGATCTCAAAAATACTTAAATAAATGTGAAGACCTGCTAATCATTTTAACATTCCGCTGCAGAGTGGGAGAAGACCGGCGGTCATACATGCTGGGACGGTGAGCTGAGTGGATTGCACTATTCGCTCTATTTTTAGATGGGTTTAAACATTTTATAATAAAAGGTTTTGAATTAATCGATTAGAGCAGAAGAACTATGAAACAAAGACTGGTAAGTGGTAAAAATGGTGATTATCACTGAACCTTAGACTTCCAGGCAATTTTTTACCCTATTCTTTCAGTCACTGTATTCTTTCATATTTCTCAAGAAGTAAATATTACATTAATAATTCTAAGTATATATAATGGCAGTTTAAAAGTTTTCTCAGTCATTGAAAACAAACCAAAACATAAATCAGTTCTATGATGTGGAGGGAGTGATCGTGCTTTGGAAAGACACCGTTGGGCAGCCTGAAGTTAGCCTATTAAAAGAGACGCAGCCAGCCGCGAACCACCACACCGCCTTCCTCATCCTCTAAGCCAGCGCTCCTTGAACTTCTCCACTCTGGACACTTTTTTGCTGTAGAATTCTTGATATGACCCCAAACACATAACTTTATAAAATAAACACACAAATCACACATTTACTAATAATAAATCATTTAAAAAATTTAAAGCAATACTTTGATATATATTATATAGTATTTTACCATTTATTAAAGACAAAAGAAAATTTACATGCTAAAGGATAGATGTGCTACTTTTTTTATTAAATTTTTGTTTACTTCATACAGAAAATCATCGTTATGCCCACTCCCCATCCCCTTCGGCACCTCCCATAGCCCCCCACTGGAGTTCATACATTCTGTCATTTGTGTTAAGGCCTATCATGTAAAGTTGGTGTCTCCAGATGTCCCTCAGTGCAAGTTCATCCACCGGGATTTAGTCAGCCTATCTACAGTCCCTCCCTTCAAGAAGATCAGCTCTTCCTCACCCAGCAGTGATCAGCTGCCAATAATTCTTTGGCTAAGATTGGGCCTGCTGTTCAGCTAGTTTCTTTATTTTTTACATAAAGAATTAAATCTGGCCAGGCATGGTGGCGGGCATGGTGGCGCACGTCTTTAATCCCAGCACTTGGGAGGCAGAGGCAGGCTCTATGAGCTCAAGGCCCCTGGAACTTTTAGAAGATCTTATTTCAAAAAAAAAAAAAAAGAATTAAATCTCTGTGTGTGTGTGTGTGTGTATTGCATGAGTGTAAGTGTGTAGGTAAACATGCTCATGCATGTGAGCATGTAGAGGCCAGAGGAGGATATTGAGTGTCTTCCTTTTTTTTTTTTTCTTGATCTTTTTGAGATAAGATCTTCATACAGTTCCAGTGACCTTGAGCTCATAGAGCCTGCCTCTGCCTCCCAAGTGCTGGGACTAAAGGCATATACCACCACACCTGGTCTTTCTCTAGCTCTCTCTACATTGTTGCTCTCTCTACATTGTTGCCTCTCTCACTGAACCAGAGATGGACGTCTTGGTTAGGATCTGCCAGTCTCTGCCCCTCAGTGCTAGGGTTGCAGGCTGATGCAACCACTATCCGCTTCCTAAGTGGATTCTGGGGATCCGACCTTAGGTCCTCATGCTTGCACAGGAATCATTCTTACCCTCAGCTCTCCAGCCCCAGGAATTAAATCTTGACTGAATATTTGATGTTGTAGGACAGAGCGTCTTCAACATTTTTCAGAGTTGGTCAATATTTCAATTTAGAATTGTCAGTGCTGAGCACATCACTCCACAGAACTACACAGCGCATGATGGCAGAAGTATGTTAAAGGCCAGTTCAGAAATTGTTGGAAATTCTGTCCTAATCCTAAACCAAAATACATTCAATGCTTTTTTTAATCAAATGCAAAACAGCAATTCAAACAGCAATTTGTAAAATCAAACATTCTAACAGAATAAAATACAAAGATGCACTAATTTGAAATATACATACTCAGAAATGATAGTAGAAAATACTTTGTTTCCTACAGTTAAACCACTAAGTGTTATTTATAAGAACATAAAGCTTTAGGCTGGGTGTAGTGATACACACCTTTAATCCCAGTACTTGGGAGGCAGAGGTGGGGAGATCTCTGTGACCTGGAGGCCAGCCTGGTCTACATAGCAAGTTCTAGGCCTGCCATGGCTACATAGTAACAGACCCTGACTCAAAAAACAAGAACAAAAACACTTTGTATGTGTAGCTGGGAATGTAGCTTGGTTGATAGTATCTGCCTAGTGTGTGCAATGTCCTGGATGTGATACCCAGCACCACAGAAACTGGATGTAAGTGTGGCAGTGCACACTTCTAATCCCAGCACTCAGGAGAGAAAGACAGGAGGATTAAAAATTCAAGATCATCCTTGGCTACACAGTGAGTTCAAGCCCAGCCTAGAATATATATACCACATCAGCCCATATATACGTGTGTGTGTGTGTGTGTGTGTGTGTGTGTGTGCGGGCTGATGTGATGGCTCAGCAAGTCAAAGCAGTTGCTGCCAAGCCTGACAGCCTGAGTTCAATCCCAGGGCCTCATAGGGAGGAAGGAGAGAGCTGATTCCTGCAAATTGTTTTCTGACTTCCACATGCTGCCATGGAACACACACACACACACACACACAAACACACACACACCACACACACACTAAAAAAATGTAATTTTAAATTTTTTAAATCGTTCTCACAAAAGAAAACAAGATTAAGAAAAAAGATAAAGAAAACTCTGTGTGTAGGATAAAAATATTGCAATTTGAGTTCAAGAGATAGCTCAGCAGTTAAGAACACTGACTGCTCTTGCAGAGGACCAAGATTCGGTTCCCAGTACCTACATGACAGCTCACAACCACCCATAATTCCAGTTCCAGGGGATCTGACACCCTCTTCTGGCCTCTGTGGACATTGCACAACATGGATGTACTTACACACGTAGGCAAAACCCTCAAACAAGTAGAAATAATTTAAATTTTCTTTTAAATACCGCAATTCATAACATCCATCTCAAAGCCTCCAGGCAGAGCCAAGATCAGTTGGTGTTACATGGCACAGTGGTGTTACATGGTGCAGTAACATGTGCATGCAAAGTGCTCACGTTATATGTTCACAACCAAGACGACAGTGAAGTAACAGGAAGTTACAGGAAAGTACTGCCTGAAACACCTTGGATATCTCTATGTTTTATTTTGTTTTTTGACACAGGGTCTCCCCATGTAGACCAGATTGACCTGGAACCCACAGAGATCCACCTACCTCTGCCTCTTGAGTGCTGGGATTAAAAGCATGTGCCAACACACCCAGCATATGTTTGATTTTGAATTTAATTT